GGGAGGGGGGGAAAGAAAGCATGAAGTCACGTGACCCACAAGGCCGCCCCGTCCAATCCCTAGGAGAGGCCACTGCATCCCTCGGAGCAACGTGGTCCTGAATCCCCTTCATCACGCTGCTCCTGAAGCCGGAGACTCGTGGTGACAGGGTCAACAGGGATGCCGACCTGAGGACGCCCAGGTATTTGGTCCCTGAATCTGAGGTTAAATGTATCGCCTGTGCACACGCTGATAAACAGCGTTTCTCGGACCTACGTCGATGTCCACCCTCAGAGAAGGTAAAGGCACAAAGATACCAAACTCTGGAGTCAGAAAGGAAGGCGCTGCAGAGGTCTCTATTCGGGGCCTCGTCTCCCGGGCAGCGCTAGAGCGCCACTATCTGAGAAAGACGCACCTGCCCACCCCTGCTCACTTCCCTTGTAATTCCCTACCCTCTGCAAAGGCGGAGGAATGGCCAGGGGCTCGGCCGGCTCACAGAAATACACCGCGGCTAAATATACATCGGGGCGGATGTCAACTTCCCCGCACATCGGAATGAAAGTATCCCCCTAAGTGCATCTCTCGAGCTGGGAGCTATTCTTGCCTTCCATTCGGCTGAGCCCTCTGAAAAGCACACACAATCCTATTAAGCCCGGTGCTTCCTCAGCCTGTTCATTAGCCTGCGTTTCCCCTTTTCATTACAAACTAAGATGCAGCCTGGAGCCAAGGAGCCAGGTCTGGAAACCCAACCCCGGCAGATCCACCCCCCTTTGCTCCCTGGCCACCCTCCACCTCCACCCCCAACCCCCTCCCCCAGGGAAAGGACCGCTTTGACTTCATCTCCCAACAGGCACGGACTAGGCATCCTAGAGCTTCTCTCAGTGGGAGGCGGGCGCTGTGCACATTATTTCAACCCCACACACAAACCCCCTCTTGGAGGCGATGAATCCCAGGAAGATGCCTTCCCAGCCCGCCTGTCCCTGCCGAAGGGGGCGGGGGAGGACTGCCCACCGGGTCGGCCTGCTGTCTGGAGAGGGCGCCTGCCAGGGGACAGCTCCTTCCTCCTTGAAGGCACAGGGGTGCCCGACACCCGGCCCTGCCATTAGCCACGCTCACGGGAAAGAGACCAAACCTCGGGCAAGAGTCACTCGTGCAAACCAACTTTCAGAGATGTCTGGGGAAATGTCATCTGTCACCCGTCTACACACGACCGTCACCATTTTCGGACACGGAGTCCAAGTGTCACAAGCAGGATACACACACGCGCGCGCACACACACACACACGCGCAGGCACCCCATCCCCAGGTCCCCCCCCCCCCCCCCCCCCCGGCCGACTTCAGGGCTCCTCTTCCCCCCAGCTTCGGGATGGGGCGCGAGGGGAGCCAACCCCCTGCCCTCCCCGCTCTCCTCCCTCCCGGCGTAGTATTTTTGGAAGAGCAAGTACTATTCCTGCCGGACAAGCGGCGCAAGTCTCTGCTATTGTGTACTGGGAGGCAGCGTCCCCGGATCCCCAGCCCCCCTGCCCGGAGAGGGACGCCTGAGCGTGTCCGCGGGGACCCAGGCCGGACCCCCAACCTCCAGGCGGGGTGCGCGGCTCACACCCGCACGGGGTGTCTAGCGAGATCTGCATCCCTGCAGCAGAGGGTCGGAGTCTACACGGCCCGCGAAGCCGGCCAGACCGGCCCGGGAAACCTCCCCGAGACACACTGAGCTGCCTGCCTCCCTCTCCCTGGCTGCTCGACCCTCCACCACCTCTAGGCACAGGCTGAAATCGTAGACAATCAGTGGTTTGAGAATGCTCCCTCCCCGCTCCTGGGGCATCTAACACAGCGCATTGACGAGCTCCGGGCATTTAAAACTGCCGCAAAGCGTCCCAACAAACCTCTTATTTTTTCCCCCTTCGTCCAAAATCCAAACAGACTGCAGAGAGAAAACGCACAGCGCGGCGCGAGCCAATAGCCGGAACCCGATTCAGATTCAGCTCACCTGCCGTGGCTCCCCGTGAGCATCGCCACACTCACACACACACTCAGACACACACAGACACACGCACGCACGCACACTCACACGCACACGCACACCCCTAACGCTCCCGGGCTCTCGGAGCAGCCGCGGGGACTTCCACTTACTTCATAAAGGAGCGCAGCCCTCCACCATCTGGCGCCGCCTCAGTGTGCACCCGCGCACTCAGCCCCCCATTCACTCGGCTTCATTGATCTCCAGCCACAACATAGTTACTTTCTCTTTTTGCCAGGACTGTAAATGTACGGCTCCGGGGGGGCGGGCCGGATGCCGACCGACGGCGCGCTGGACCAATAAGAACCCGGAGAACGCGGACCGTTACCTCACCGCAGCCCGCGACCAATGGGAGGCCGGAGGGTTTCCGGGCGGGGAGCGGGGCCTCGCCTCGCTCACCAGGGCCGCGCTCCGTGTCCGCGGTGTCAGAACGCGGGGCGGTGATGTCATTGGCAACCAATCAACAACTTGCGAAAGGGCCGGCCGGGCCGCGCGCGTAGCAGCTGCTCTGTTTTTTACTTGTCATCCGAGCCGGCAGGACGCGCTTAACCCTTTCCGGGGCTCAAGTGTCACCTGGCGGGGCTCGCACTGGGCTCCACCCGGCTCTGGCCACTGGACGGTTTCCCCCGGGACCCCTCGTGAGATAAGACCGTTTATCTCTCTGATTCCTTCTCACTCGGGACGGGAATGTAAGTGCCGGAGTATCTTTCTGAAGGGTATATAACGAGAGCAATCTCCGTTCCCAACGGAAAAACGGGGCTCTTGGAGCGGCTCGAGGTGATGGACGGACCCTAACCCAAGATTCCGGACGCCGACGAGCCGCCCGCGCCGGGACCCTAGTGAGCGCGCAGCCAGGGGCATCGCCGCGTCTCCGCCCGCATCCTGGGTTCGGACACCACTGGGAACCGGCGAGGCCCGCCCAGCTCGCCGAGGCCCGCATCCTGGGAGCCGCCTCGCTCGGCCTCGCGCCGGGAAGCGTCGGCCGGCCGCCCGCAGAGGTCGCTGCCCCTCCGGCTTCCCAACTGCTGTCCCGCGGCGGGGGGCGCGGCGCCCTCTGGCTCGCGGACGCCTGCGCCCCGGTCACGCCCCCGCCTCCTCCGCCTACTTGCCAGGGCTCCGGTCACAGCACCACCGGGCGCTGGAGGGCTGCTCGGGGGCAGCGGCCTGGGCTCCGGCAGGAAGCTACAGGGAGCGCACCCTGAGCCGTGGCACAGGCGCCACCCGCCTAGGCCGTGCGTCCCAGAGATCCTTGTGCGCCCGCCATGACCCCGGGCCCGGCCACCCCCAGGGCCCCTGGCAAGCCCAGGACAGCCGGTCCCGAGGCTCTGGAGTAGCCTTGGCCCCGGAAAGGAACCTGAACTCGGTGTCAATCACCAGACTGGCGCCGCCCGGGGGTCGCTGGCCTAGGCGCGTGGGGAGGACGAGGGGGCCACAGTAGCCCGCCAGCCCCGCCTCTGGGAAATCTCAGGGAAACGGAGGGAAAGCTGTCTGGGGTGGAGATGCGGAGAGGGACTGCAGAGACCTGCATCCAAGAGCCCTGAAGATGTAGGGCCCTCTCCTTTAGCCCTTTCCCGGCTGAGAGCCTGGCAGGGGGAAGGAGTAGGATGCTTTCCATGCCGTGAGCCGGGGAGCCCTGTGAGCAAGACAGTTTGCTTTGTGTGGTTTTTTTCTCTTATCAGATTGAACGTGTTGGAGACAAACTTCAGGCCCCAGGCCTGATAAGTCAGCTAAGTGGTGGCGACGCATGCATGTAAATGCTTTTAAGTGCAGATCTGCTGGCTCTCAGAGCTCAACGCGCTAGTCAGAGAAAGCCCTTGGCGACCTCCGAGCCAATGCATATACATACACAGAGTCTAGCTTTCCCGCCAGTGTTTCCAGTGGAAGTAAACGCATACAGTCATCTCAAACAGGAAAGGGTTTCCATAGTCCCCTCGCCACTCACACACCAACACGCACACGCAGCGGTGGGGGCACACCATTTGGCTCTCACACCTTTGGGGATCAACAGGTCCTGGCCAGGAAAGTTGTGTTCTGGGTACTTGCCACAGACATCAGAAAAGAACTTTCTGGAAGGTCTGTCTACCCTGGGTCTCTTTAGAGCTTAAATAGCTAAGGCAGCCCTCACCCTGGATCATTATTGGGGGGAAATGTTCACTAGCTCGGGGTTTGGAGCGTTCGGGGTGCAGGTCCTGATTCTGCCTCTCATCGGTTGTGTCTGTCCATCCAGAGTCACTGTGTTCATTCATTGATCTGTGACATGGGAATACCCCAACTAAAAAAAAAAATTTAAAAAAGGGGGGAAAATTTCTGGTGCAAGTGCTGGGGGGTTGGGGGGGAGGATTACTGATAAAAGGCAATCAGTAAAAAGGCATTGTCCTTGTTTAAGGAAATGGGGTGCATCTATTTAAGGGTACTTAGGATCTAGCTATAATAATAAAAGCATAATATGCTAATTAGACCAGACAGCCGGACAACCTTCCAGACGTCCTTCCGGACGACCTTCTGGAGGAAGCTGGGGCTGTGAGGGCCGAGGCAAGCTACCGAGGCTGCGAGGGCCGAGCCTCTTGCATGAATTTCGTATATCAGACCTCTATTAAATTATAAATTCATTGCTAACACCCCAGTATCTAGGCCCAAACAAAGTAGGGACTTACACAAGAGCTCGTAACAGCTTTTCCTATGAGGCTCAGAAGGGGAAAGGAACTTCAAAAAGAAGTGTAACTCATCTGATGAGATGAGTATTTTATTATAGTTTCAAACTAGTGACGATAATTGACTAGTTGACTAAGAATCTAAGCCTTCCGGGCTAAAAATTCGGAAATGATGGCAACATTTCTCATCGTTTATCAAACCTGAAACATGAAATAAGCATGTGATTAACATATACAAAGATGTACT